CCTTGCGATCAGTTTAAAACAGTTATGTGCAAGTGGTTCCCAAAGGGATTTTGGCCATAATCGCGCTGACATAAAGCGTCACGAATCACATCAGTGGCAACCAAGTTTTACTGTCATAATCTAGTTAAATGACGCAAGGCCGTTAATCCACTTGATTGACCGTTAAACTGGCTTAATGAGTTGACATTTTCGGCAAAACGATTTTATTGCAGCTACTCATTTATGTAACACAATAATGAAGCAAACAGATAACGAGGGGATGAGCTTCAGTATAGTATATATGTGACATTGGTAGAACATAGTCATTTTTATTAATATCATAGCAATTCAATTTACGTAGGTGAAGTAAATTTTATGCACAAAAAAATAATAATTCTAGGGCCAATTCTCCGGTAGAATAGACCGTAACATAGCGCTATTATGGCAACGTTAGGTAACGCTACTTTCTTGATATAAATTTGCTGTAAATGCTTTCAAAATGCTATATATTTGCTGTACGATCAGGCTTTTGCACATAAAATCTAAATTCATGTATGGTTTATTATGACGCATCAAAAAGATGCACTTTTGATAACATTGTGCGTTTTCTAGGTCAGGTTTCATGTCTAAAATGCCTAATCGCATAGCAAATGCATAATATTTTCACAGCATTTACAGTGAATTTATATGAACAAAGTTAACAATTAACTTCAGTATATTGTAAAGATAACAATTGCTTCATAGATAACAATTGGCCCCTTAATATGAGATACAGCAGCACACTTTTGCAAAATTGCTACTGACCAAAATTTTGCACAAACCTTATCTTTTATTTGTTTATTACCAATATGATTAACGAGCAAACCCGACGAACTCCGTTTCGCCACCAGATGGTTTCGTGAGAAAGATGAAGAAATTTTTTGTTTGTTTTATATTTGAAAAGGAAAAATTTGAGATTATTGCACAACAGTAATGAATTTATTTCTATTACAAAAATGAAGTGTTTTTTAGTTGAACTTCTCTAAGTAAATGAAAGTGAATCCGCAAATTATCCGTTTCATTGAAGTGCTTTTTGGTAAACCACATTTTTTGTTTTTTGGTCTGACGTTAACACAAACAAAGCGGATGGTTTTCCAACTCGTGAACATGCAACGTATAACTGCCCACGTGAAAAACAATGATTTTCTAAATAATCTATTTGAAATTTATCCGCAAACACTAAGCGATTGGCCTTGCGACTTGTTAATTGTTATTGCGTACGCAA